CTTGTACTTCTATCTTAAAATCATATTGTTCTCTTTCAGCCATTATTAACAAGGTCATTACAAGACTTCATTGTCTTCCCACAACTTAGCAATTCTTATCCTATCCACCGCAATTCCTGATTATATCATCATACCAAATATGGGCAACCCCACTACAGCCTAAACAGCATATAATTGATTTTGACACACCCTCATAGGCGAAGTGGGGGATAAGAACAACAAATGGTCACAAGACCAGTCGAGAGAATAGGCAAAGCAAAGCTCATGGTGGATCTCAAGATCATCACACAGTTCGAGCACAAGCGAGTGGCCACAAGGCCAGATTACATGCAGAGTTATAATAACAGAAGCAGTACATTGATCACAGCCTAGCAAGTGTAAACATCCAGGTACATACATATATAGCAGGGTACAACAAGTGCAAGGCGAGCACAAGAGTCAAGCAGGTGAGGCAGAGTGGGCACAAGCCCAAGAGCAGTGCAGAAACGCTGATGATCACCAGACCCTAGGGCCTTGGTGAAGATATCAGCGATGTTGGCCTGTAAGGCCACGTAAGCAAGGCGAAGCTGATCATGCTGCTGTAACTCTCATGCGAGAAAGTAACGAAGAGCATTGTGCTTCGTTTTGTGCTCCAGTCTCTGCTCCTGTCACAAAGCAATCATGGCCTTGTTGTCGACGTACAGAACTGGAGGAGAACGAGGCCGCTCACCCAAGTCAGTCAGCAAGTAGGTCAGCCAGCGTAACTCATGCGCAGCCATAGCCCCAGCGTAGATCTCGGCCTCATAGCTAGAGCTAAGCACAGAAGACGAGCAAGTGGACCTCCACGAGACAAAACCAGTGCCGAGACTGAAAGAGTAACCCTGTGACGACTGCTGAGTCGCTTGGTCATCAGCCCAAGAAGCGTCTAAGTGCCCAGTGAGCACAACTCGACCCCGTCCTCCAGGAACAAGCCCCATGCCTGACGTACTGCACAAGTAGCGCACTACCCTCGTAGCAGCCCGGTAGTGCTCAGGACAGTGTCTCCCGGGCGCAACGTAGCGCGCTAGGATGCTGAGAGGGTACGCGAGGTCGGGTTGAGTGCAAGTCATTAGGTACATGAGGCAACCCACGAGCTCTGGATACGGACCACTCAGCTCTACGGACTCGTCCAAAGGTGGAGCGGAGATCGAGTGGGTTGTAGACAGAGGAGTGGGCTGTGGCGAGGAGAACTGAAAGCGGAAGTGCTGAAGGACCTGCTGCACCATGTGTGATTGAGTCAGAGTGATGGTGCGCGCTGCTCTGTCCCGAGTGATCTGCAAGCGAAGATAGCTCCCGACTTGGGAGAGCCGCCTAGTTCATTCATTCTCGCTTTGTATTCTGACAGTGCTTAGTACACCCCTGATTTGAAATGATTGTGGTGTTGTACAAAGTAGAACGCATTCTCTAGCAAACATGAGCACGCATTTGCTTTTTTCCTAGAGAACGACTTAGCAAGTACGGATCCTGCCCGTCGCACGCCCCGCCCTCCCTGCTGTGGTGCGCGCCCTGCTGCAGTGCGTGGCGACTGTGGGGCGCGCGCCTGCTCCTTCACTGCGCAAGCATCTGCACCCGCGGAGCAGCTCCTACCCCGCCCCCCCCGCCCCCCCCTTCTCCCCCATCTCCCTGCTGCGTGTGCAGCCGTGGGGGGGGAGGGTATGGGGGTGGCGGGCATGAGTGATCAACTGCCGCTCCTCCTCCTCTCTCTCCCACTGCTGCAGCTCCTGCTGAAGGGGGGGGGGGGGGGGGGGGTGTGGGGGAGACGAGGGAGTGGCGCTAGGGATGCCGAGGGGTGTGAAAGGGGGTTTGGGACAATGAGAGGAGGTTGAAGGCGGGTGGCCGCCGTGAAATCCGCAGCTCCAGTCGCGCGTGAGACCGTTGCGCTAGTGGCACGTGAGTCGGTTGCTCTTGCCGGCGAGCGGAGCCAGTTACTCCAGTTGCCCGTGTGCCAGTTGCTCCACTCGCCCGTGGGTCAGTTGCTCTTGCCGGCGAGCAGAGCCAGTTACTCCAGTTGCTCGTGTGCCAGTTGCACCAGTTGATCGTGCTCCAGTTTGCGCCGTGTGCTAGAAGCTTCAGCGGCCACCCACCTCCTCCTCTCCTCTCCTGGTCCCATCTCCTCCTCACTTGCCCTCTGTTTCTGCCACTAAACTTTGCCTGTGAACTGGTCCTGCAACTGCTTGTTGTGTTGGCTATCCCCCACTTCGCCTATGGGGGTGTGTCTGTTAGAAAGTAGGAATGAAGGATGAGAACAGAGAAGAGGGTTTGCACTAGCAGGCAGTTGAGTACATATAGGAAACCCTAATTTGGGCTATACTCGCTATAGAGTACCCCACTGCAGTCTAGACAAATATCACATTCTGACACACCTCCATAGTCAAAGTGGGGTAAAATCAGCACAGCAAGCAGTCATAGAGCAGGTTCACAAGTACAAGCAAAGCTAGAGGCATTCACAAAGGGCAAGTGAGGAGGAGGAGGCGGGACTGTGAGAGGAGAGGAGATAGGAGGCGACGGCTGAAGCTGCAGACACACGGGCAACAGGAGCGGCTGGCACAGCGGCTACCGGAGCAGCGCCCCGGACTACTGGAGTAACTGGCTCCGCGGTTAAGACGAGCGGCAGGAGCAACGGACCCACGGGCGACTGGCGCAGCAGGCTCGCTGGGCTACCGGAGCAGAGCCCCGGACTACTGGTGCTGCTGACGACACGACGGCTGCCTCCGCTCAACCTCCCCCAACTATGTCACCCCCCTAGCGCAACTCCCTCGGCTCCCACACACCCACCCCCCTCAGCGGCAGCTGCAGCAGTGGGAGAGAGAGGAGGAGGAGGAGCAAGGGACGACGCACACCCGCCACCCCCATACCCGCCACCCCCATACCCTCCCCCACGGCTGCACGCGCAGCAGAGAGACGACGGGGAAGGAGGGGGGGGGGGGGGGGGGGCGGGGAAGAAGCCGCCCCGCAGCTGCACGAGGGCAAGGGGCGGCGCGCGGGTCCACAGGGCAGCTCGCGCGGGTCCACGGGGCAGCGCGCGCGGGTCCCCTGGGGCGACGCGCGGGTCGACGAGGCAGCGCGCGCGGGTCCCCTGGGGCGACGCGCGGGTCGACGGGGGCAGCGCGCGGGTCCCACGGGGCGGCGCGCGGGTCCACGGGGCAGCCCGCGCGGGTCCAGCGGGGCAGCGCGCGGGTCCCGCAGGGCGTCGCGCGGGTCCAGCGTGGGGGGGGGGGGGCGCGGGTCCCACGGGGCGACTCGTCGGGCAGAAAACCGCCGCGCGCCCCGAGCGCGCGGCGGGAGGAAAACGTCGCGCGCCCGGGGCGCGCGATAGGTAGGACAGCAGCGGAAGCATTAGGTGGGCCCATCCACAGGATCGACGAGAGAGGGTCGACCTGCTCGGAAACCATGTCAGAAAGTAGGAATGAAGGATGAGAACGGAGAATAGGGTTTGCACTAGCAGGCAGTTGAGTACATATAGGAAACCCTAATTTGGGCTATACTCGCTATAGAGTACCCCACTGCAGGCTAGACAAATATCACATTTTGACAGTGTCAAAATGTTATTTGCTGTGTAGGCTGTAGTGGGGTACTCAACAGAGAGTACAACCCTTTTAGGGTTTCCTATATGTACTCCACCTGCCTGCTAGTATAATCTTCTCTTCTTCCTTTCCTTATTCGCTTCTACTCTTAACAAACCCCACCTATAAAACACTATGTCTTTCACTAAATTAAAAAAAACAGCCTTACAATGAAACTGAAGTTCAAAAACAATCATACAGACTGATTGAAATTGATAAATATAGTACACGACCAAGTTTTGCGCCACTGTCGTCGTCCGTTCGCGCTCTAACGGCCGTCGTCAATTGTTCACTATTGGCGACGTGGTTACCTCACGGCCCGTCAACTGTTCACTCCGATGAAAAGTTGGGCGAAATGGTTACAAATCACCACTTATCTATCTGGAAATAGATAAGTCGGCGAAAACGCAGGTCTAGATTTCAAATTTCGTCTCGGGCATTTTCGATTTCGCCTTTGGCATTTTGGGGGAGTAGGTCTAGGCTCGTCTTAGCGCCCGAGCCGCGCCCTCCCCCAGCCCGTCCACATCTATTTCGGGGTGGCGGGCGTGGGCACGGGGCCCCCCTCCCGAGCGCGGCGGGCGCGGGGCCCCCCTCCCGAGCACGGCGGGCGCGGGCGCGCAGTCCCCCCCCCCCCCCCCCCCCCCCCCCCCCTTCAAGGAAGCGGCGGGCGCGGGCGCGGAGCACCCTCCCCCGGAGGCGGCGGGCGCGGGCGCGCAGCCTCCGTCCCGGGGGCGGGAGGTGACCTGGTAAAGTTCAAGAAGTTGAGGCGCGGGTTGGCAGGGAGTAGGCTTGAGCAAATTCACGAACGCCTATTCGAGGCGAACCGAACAAGTTTGTTTTTTTGCCTAATTCGTTCGTGGCTTTTTTTTTTGCCTAATTCGTTCGTGGCGAACGTGTTCGGTGTTCGGCCGAACACGTGAACCGTTCGCCTATGGCCTTTGGCCGCGGGATGGCGAACACGAACATGTTCGTGTTCGACGGGGGGAGCCGACAAACACCAAAATGTTCGCGTCAAATCTGGCCGCGACCAAATTTAGGTCGCGGCCGATTTGTGTTTGAGCTCATTTCTTGAGCTCAAACACAAAACGACTTTAGTGTTTAGCCTTCCCTCCAACAACCGCCATAGCTTTGCGGTTTTAAGAGCCACCGCACCCCGTTCATGAGATTTAACACGCACATTTCATCTAACTAGTCCGTAGTTTAGGGCAATTTCATCAACATTAACGTTGGTAGCTAGAGGATCAAGCTCTTAACGGTCAATTAGGGCCGTGCTATCAGCTAGAACGCGATCGTTACCCGTTCCGGTTTTAGAGTTTTAGGGCCTAGGGTGGAGTTATGGCTTCCGCCGGCCAGGGAGGATCTGCAGAACGAGGTGCAGGCATGAGTCAGGGCGGTACACCAAGTTCTCCACCACAACCTATGCAGGGGCGAGTAGGGGACGGACCTGCAGGAGCCGGTGCTTGTTTCGTCGGGGGGTTTCTTTCAGTAGCGGCGCCGACATCCCGTCAATCGTTCCGTTACAGTGGCGGTCGACCCCCTCCTTCTGGGCAGACGCCGCAGGAGAGTGGCAGTGAGGAGGAGGATGAGGAGGAGGTGGGTGAGGGCGCGGAGGATGAGGACGATGAGGGGAGCGGGGATGACAGTGAGGTCGGGTGGGATCCCGAGACGCATGGCGGTGGGGAAGGGGGGGGTGATGATGATGAAGACCACGAGATGGATGGGTTGGAGCCAGAGGAGGTGGAGGAGGAGGTGGGAGAGGGTGGTAGAGGGGCGGCGACAGAGGCGGCCTCACAGCATGTCGCTGAAGGAGGAGGGAGCGTGGGGGTGGGGGTTAAGGTGGGGAGAAAGCGGGCGTTCGTTGCGGGGCCGAAGCGGAGGAAGAGGGCGAACAAGTTGAGGGAGCGAGCGCATCCCTGCACATTCACTGGGTAGCCCTTGGGCGAGGGGGTGATCGCTCCGGAGTTCCTTGACGAGGACGGAGGGTTCGAGAGTAGTAGGGGGACTAGCAAGGGTAATAAGAAACCGGGGTGGCAAGTACAGATGTTCGGGCCTAAAGGGTCAGACGACAAGCGTCAGTGCAAGATTTGCACTGACAGGATTTCGTGGAGGCAATCCACAACAACACCCGGCGAGCGTCACTTCGAGAGCTTCCACACAGCTCACATGCACGTGTGGTATCACCGTTTCATCACTCCAAGCGTTCAGTTGCTTGGCGAGACGTTTCCTCGTGGGGGCTACAAAGGTGTGCCGGATGGCTACGTCGATAAGTGGCCGCATGCCAAGTGCTGGCCGAACCTCGCCAAGAAGAAGGGGAAGGGGGTAGGGGGGGCTGTTGGGTCAGGCGGGATCGAGCGGTTCATGACGACCAAGCTGTCCACGGTGGAGCTACGGCAGGCGATCGCCAAGCTGGTGGTCACCTGCGACCTCCCCTTCCGCATCGTCGAGGCCGAGGCAGTGAGTGTCACATGCATGCTGTATGAGAGGATTGGCCGGTTTGTGGTGGATTGTTTGGAGTTTCTATTGTACAACTGTGCCAATCCGTCTCCAATCCATCCCCTTGCCGTTGAAAACCCTCTCTCTCATCGTCTCCACCCCCCTCCAGTTTCGGGAGCTATTGATCCTGCTAAACCACAACTGCGCGCAGAAGAACTTCATCCCCTCACGCTGTACGGTATCCTGCGACACCGTGGTCTTTGCAACAGCCGCTCTAGAGTCCGCCATTGCGGAGATGCTGGCGAAGGAGGGGGAGTTGGGGTGCAAGGTGTCGTTCACCATCGACATGTGGACGGCACCCAACGGCAAGGCATGGCTAGTGGTGACGGGTCACTGGATAGACAAGAACTTCCAGCTGCGCACAGCGGTGCTTGAGTTCCGCGAGATGCTCGGGCGTCATGGGGGCAAGGAGATGGCGCAGGTGGTAGAGGAGACGTTTGTGCAGTGGGGGTTGGAGGGGCGTTGTCTTGGTTTCACGACAGACAACGCCTCTATCAACATTGCCGCCTTCAGGCGAATGTCGGAGGAGGGTGGTGGTCAGTGCTTCTTCAACTCCCGCATGCACTTCCGGTAAGTGTGGGAATGTGCGAGGGTTAGGTGTGTGGGAGTGTGGGTGTTTGTGAGCCTTTGCGGGTGTGTCGATCCACCATGGACAATGTGTCGGTGTATGGGGGAGTGGGCCGGTGCGGGGAAAGTTGGAGGGTGGGTGTGGTCTGGTATGGCTTTGTGGCTCGCACTGACCATGTGTCCTAACACTTCACCTTCCCTTTGCCACTATTGTTGTGTTCCGCGCGTAGGTGCTTGGCACACGTGATCAACCTTGCAGTGCAGGCGGCGCTGGCTGTGGATTCCATACGACGGTTGTTGAAGATACTGAGAGAGAACCCCATCACAGTCTTCTTTGCCCAGACACAGGTATGACATGTTGTATGTGTGGGGTTTACTGTGTGGGTTTGTAAGGGTGTGTTAACACTTCCACTCAATGCTGATGGTCTAGCTTGTATGTTGCCGGAAGCCTAAATCCTCCTTACCCTCTGTTTCCCTCTTACCTCCCCCCAACCCCGACCCTCAACCCGACAGAGCTTGTTGAAGGCCGACAAGAAGAAGGTGGAGAGTCTGCGCCTGACAGACGCGGACTGGTGTTAGAATATGGAAACATGAATCGCTTGACTAAAGCAGGATGAGTAGTACAAGTAGCAACCCTAACAAAGGGTTGTACCCCATAGGGAGTAACCCATTACAGCCTAACATCACTGACATGATATAAACATGTTTTGACACACCCCCATAGGCAAAGTGGGGGACAACAAGGGGTCACAAGACCAGTCAAGAGAAGAAGCAAAGCAAAGCAAAGCTCAGGGTGGATCTCAAGATCACCACGCAGTCTGAGCACAAGCAAGCGGCCTCAAGGCCAGTTCACATGCAGAGTTTATAATTGCAAGAGCAGTACACTGATCACAACCTAGCAAGTGTAAACATGCAAGAATACTCATAACAGAAGACGAACGGGTAGACCGCCACGAAACAGAGCCGGAGCCAAGGCTGAAAGTGTAACCCTGTGACGACCGCTGCGTAGCCAAGTCGTTAACCCAAGAAGCGTCTGCGTGTCCAGTGAGGACAACTGGACCCCGTCCTCCAAGCACGAGCCCCATGCCCGACGTACTGCACAAGTAGCGCAACACCCTCTTAGCGGCCTCCCAGTGCTCTGGTCGGTGTCTCCCGGGCGCAACGTAGCGTGCCAGGATGCTAAGAGGGTAGGCAAGGTCAGGTCGAGTGCATGTCATCAGGTACATGAGGCAGCCAACAAGCTCTGGATACGGGCCACTCGGCTCTACGGACTCGTCCGAAGGTGGAGCTGAGAGCGAGTGACCGGTAGGCAGAGGAGTGGACTGTGGCGAGGAGTACGTGAAGCGGAAGCGTTGAAGGACCTGCTGCACCATGTGTGACTGAGTCAAGGTAATGGTGCGCCGTGCTCTGTCCCGGGTGATCTGCAAGCCAAGATAGCTGCGCAGCTCACCCAGGTCTGTGCACGTGTGTCTCTTCTGCAGCTCCGACTTCACTAGGGCCAGTCCCTCAGTGTCAGCAGTGGCAAAGACCAAGTCGTCGACGTACACAAGGATGTAGAACGGCGGCAGCGAAGTGTCGGTGCGTAGAAACAGCGACGGGTCAGAAGTCGAAGGAGCAAACCCAAGAGCCGCAAGCGTCGTCCTCAGTGTGTCGTGCCACTCGCGAGGCGCCTGGCGGAGACCGTAGACTGGCCGCCGGAGGCTCCACTGGGTACCTGCAGGAAACGACCCAGTGAAGCCAGGTGGGCGGCGCAGCCAGATCTCCTTGTGAAGGCTGCCCTGTAAGAAAGCTGTGCTGAAGTCAAGAGAGTGAAGCTCGTAGTCACACTGAGCGGCGACGTGCAGCAGCACCCGAAGAGTGGTCATCTTCGGGGTAGGGGAGAAGGTCTGGAAGAAGTCAACTCCCTGTCGCTGACTGAAGCCTCGTGCAACGTAACGCGCCTTGAAGGCAGGCGAAGATCCCGGCGGCCGCTTCACCCTGAAAATCCACATGCCATCGACTATGTTCGCCCCAGGAGGGGGAACTGCGTCGACGTAAGTGCCTGTGGACTTCCAGGATGCCATGTCTGCGTCCATGGCTGTCTGCCACTGAGAGGAGTAGGGACCCGTAATCGCCTCTACGTAAGAGCGCGGGGTCGGGATGTCTCGTGCATCCGGGTCTCCCTCAGGTGCAATCAGCATGGACACAAGATGAGGTACAGCAGCTGCAAAACACTCAAAGTCCTCCTGCCTGTCCTCGAGGACGTCCGTGCCAAGAGCACACTCACCCCCGACGGACGGAGGACAGTCAGACTCAGACTCAGCAACAAGACTAGCGGCGTAGTCGAGACGACAGGCGGCAGCAAAGTCAACAAGCTCAGCAGCTAGGGCAGACGCAGCAGTGGACTCAAATGAAGGGTCAGTGACAACAGTGGCCAGAATACGTGTGACAGTAGGACTGGCAGCATGAGCAAGGTCAGACGCAGGGTCAGGAACGTCAGGAGGAGACGGCAGAGGGACATGCTGTGGAACAGAGGAAGGACGAAGTGCCAAAGGGTGCGTGCCGGGGACAGGAGGAGGACGCTGACGCGGAACTCGATGACCAGTGCGAACAGCTCAAACAGGCGAGGCAGGATGAGACGCAGGCTCACGACGCTCTGTAAGACCTCCTGTCTGCTCAGTGTAAGGAGAAGGAGCAGGCAGTGGGGAGGCTGGCTGTTACTGAGACTGCGACTGGTCAGGCGGTGGACACAGTAAGGGAGGAGTAAGGCCAGTAGAAGACGGGAGACCAAGAACCTGCTGAAGTAGTGGAACGAAGTACGGTCGCGGCCGCACAGTGCCTCCAGATGCAGCACCGACAGCACCAGCGCCCACAGGGCCAGCACCTCCAGCTCGAGGGTCTCCAGCTCGAGGGACTCCAGCTCCAACGCCTGCAGCACCACCAGCTCCAGCAGCTCCAGTACCTCCTGTACGAGCACCTCCGGGACCAGCGGCTTCAGCACCTCCAGCACCTCCAGGACCAGCAGCTCCAGCACCTCCGGCTCCAACGCCTGCAGCACCACCAGCTCCAGCAGCTCCAGTACCTACAGTACGAGCACCTCCGGGACCAGCGGCTCCAGCACCTCGAGCACCTCCAGGACCAGCAGCTCCAGCACCTCTGCTACCTCCAGCGCCAGTGCCTCCATCTCCAGGGTCTCCAGCTCCAGCGCCTGCAGTACCACCGGCTCGAGCAGCTCCAGTACCTCCAGTACGAGCACCTCCGGGATCAGCAGCTCCAGCACCTCCAGCTCCAGGGCCTCCAGCGGCAGGCCCCCCAGCTCCAGCAGCGCCACTTTGAAGACTCCAGCGCCGAGCAAACCACTCGCGCAGCTGCGGTGGAGAGAGAGGCTCTGACGAGGCACCCGGAGAACCTCCAGCACCTCCAGCACCTCCAGGACCAGCAGCTCCAGCACCTCCGGCACCTCCAGGGCCAGCAGCTCCAGCACCTCCGATACCTCCAGCTCCAGCGCCTCCAGCTCCAGGGTCTCCAGCTCCAGAGCCTGCAGTACCACCGGCTTCAGCAACTCCAGTACCTCCAGTACGAGCACCTCCGGGACCAGCAGCTCCAGCACCTCCAGGACCAGCAGCTCCAGTGCCTCCAGCTCCAAGGCCTCCAGCGGCAGGCCCCCCAGCTCCAGCAGCGCCACTCCGAAGGCTCCAGCGCCGAGCAAACCACTCGCGCAGCTGCCGTGGAGAGAGAGGCTCCCGCCGTGACGAGGCACCCGGAGAACCTCCAGCAGACAAAGTACCTCCAGGCTCAGCACGCCTAGGCTCAGCACCTCCAAGCTCAGCACCCCCAGGCTCCGCACGCTCAGGCTCAGCACCCCCAGGCTCGGCACCCTCAGACTCAGCAACCCCAGGCTCAGCACCCCCAGGCTCCGCACGCTCAGGCTCAGCACCCCCCGGCTCCGCACGCTCATGCTCAGCACCTCCAGACGCAGCACCCCTAGCAGCACCTCCCCCAGCAACACCAGAGTCGACAGCGACCTCGACAGGCTCGACAGGGTCTACCTGAGACACACCTGAGGGAGCAGGACCCTGAGGGGGGAGGGGGTCTACTGGAGGAGGACCTGGTGCGAGGAAGAGCGGCGCGGGGGGGAGAGGGGCAATGCGGTAGGGGAAGAGACGGTAAAAGGGAACTGACTCGTCAAACGTGACGTCCTGAGAGGGCTGGATACGGCGCGAGGTGGGGTGGTAAAACTGCCAGCCAGGCGCGTCAGGGGGAAAGCCAAGGAAGACTCAGGGAATGGCGCGGGAGGAGAGCTTGTCCGCGGAAGTATCGCGGACACAGACTCGACCCAGGCTGACGGGCGAACGTGGCCAGGTGACGGCCCGTCCGTGTACATGTGCAGATTGTCACACGCTGACCCCCAGGAGTGGTGCTAGTGACCATCGCATCCTGGAGGGCAGCGGTACTCACCAAGTTCGTAGAGAACGAGGGGAGGTGAAGACCTGAGAGTGAGCCGGACGGAACCGCCGGACACGGGAGAACAGTGGAGGAACGTGCAAGAACTGGGCCCCCCTGAGGGGTCAGCCAGTCTGACAGCAACAGGTGCAGGGAGTGGTGTGACTGTAGTGCTGTAGCGAAAGAAACAGCGGGAAGCACCTGAGTCAAGCGTGAAGGTGTGCAAGGCCTCAGCAGGCGCAGTACCAGGGAGAGCAGACTCACTAGCACCTAGAGCAGAAGCCTCTATACCTGGGTCGGGCGGCACACACAGGTAACAGTCACCCTCAGCACTAACAATCAATGCATACATGGCAGCAAGGATAGTATCATAATCAAGAGCAAATATATCCACCGAGACTGCCACTACGGCCGCCGCCACCACTCCCACTGCTGCCACCGCCGCCGCCACCACTCCCACCGCTACCACGAAGAGACGTCATAGCGGGCAAAGCAAGGAGGCGTGCGACCAGCACGGCAGCACGCAGTGAAGGCAGGGTGGCGAGCAGGCACTAGGGTAGGTCGGGGCGGCGCACGGTTAGGGAAGGGCGGCGCGTGGCCAGAGCAGGGCGGCGCGCTGCAAGTAGGGCGGCGCGCGGGCAGGGGAGGGCGCACGGGCAGGCAAGGGCAGCGTGCGGGCTGCAGAGGGCAGCGCGCGGGCTGCCAGGGCGGACGCGACGGGCAGGGGAAGGGCGGAGCGCGGGCAGCAGGGCGGCGCGCGGGCTGCAGAAGGCGGCACGCGGGCAGGCAGGGGCGGCGCGCGGCCAGCAGGGAGGCGCGCGGGCTGCAAGGGGGCGGCGCGCGGGCAGAAAAGGGGCGGCGCGCGGGCCCTAGGGTGACGCAACGGGTAGGGCAGGGGCGGCGCGCGGTCCCTAGGGCGACGTGACGGGCAGGGCAGGTCGTCGCGCGGGTCCTAGGGCGACGCGACGGGCAGGGCAGGGCGTCGCGCGGGTCCTAGGGCGACGCGACGGGCAGGGCAGGGCGTCGCGCGGGTCCTAGGGCGACGCGACGGGCAGGGCAGGGCGGCGCGGCAGCCAGCAGGGTGGCGCGCGGGCAGGGCAGGACGGCGCGTCAGCCAGCAGGGCGGCACGCGGGCAGGGCAGGGCAGCGCGGCTGGTGGGGCAGCGCGACGGGCAGGGTAGGGCGCTACGAACAGAGTAACGCACTACAGGCAGGGAACTATTCGGTGGGCCCTAAAAAAAACGGTCCTGCTCTGAAACCATGTCAGAATACTAAGCGAGAATGACTGAACTATAAACAAGGTGGGTACAAGTACTAACCCTAATTGGGTTGTACCCCATATGGGCTACCCCACTACAGCCTACACAACACACAACATAACAGTTTGACAAGCACAAGTGATGAAAATGGTGGATTGTTTTCAAGGGGGTTTCTAGCCTTTTTTTTTTTTTTTTTTACATATGCATTTAATGTTATGAAGACTATGGCTTCCCCCACATTCAGTTTCCTCAATGCCATTGTTGTGTGTGACTATCCAAACTTGTCAATTTTGATTTGAAACATTTAGTTGACTTGAAAGGAGAAGGGTGCTGATCATAATTCTAAATGCCCTTCTGAATTCCGAGTGTGTTTTCGCACCGTGTCTTCTCCTGCAAACGAGGAGCATTTCATATGGGAGACATACACTGTATAGGGGTTGGCGAATTCGAGGGCATCACGCAAATTTCCGCAGACAACACTTTTAAACCAATTCTACCCACATGTCTGACATTTAGCTCGAACGTGAATCGGTTTAAATTCATTCGAGCTCACGGTCAATTTCGACTTGTCCAAGGTAAATCGCTGTGGAGAATATGGATAAATTCATTCGCGATCCGCATGGCATGCATTCAAAGCGCAACAACGAATGAAATCCACACCAATATTCAGATAATTTAGCGTGCGAAATTTCGCGGACTCGATGGTGATTGGTCGAAGCTGACTCTCGACGGGATTTTATAGTCCGATACAACAGTTACATTGACATGCGAACTGAGTGGCAGAGTACGATCCCCAACAGGGATCACTCTGGTGAAATTGGGTACGATTTCGTAACGACCCCGTAACCATGCCGACACAATCATGTAGTTCACTTTCGTGTGCAAACCGAGTTGCAGAGTACGATCCCCAACAGGGATCGCTTTGGGGAAAGTGGGTACGATCTCGTTCTTCATTCCTACTTTCTGACATGCTATCAGAGCAGGTCGACCCTCCCTGGTCGATCCAGTGGATGGGCCCACCTAATGCTTCCGCTGCTGTCCTGCCTATCGCGCGCCCCGGGCGCGCGACGTTTTCTGCCTGCCGCGTGCTCGGGGCGCGCGGCGGTTTTCTGCTGGGCGGCGCGCCCCACCCGCTGGACCCGCGCGACGCCCTGCGGGACCCGCGCGCCGCCCCCGCTGGACCCGCGCGACGCCCTAAGGGACCCGCGCGCTGCCCCGCTGGACCCGCGCGCGCTGCCCCATGGACCCGCGCGCTGCCCCGTCGCCCAGCGCGCCGCCCCAGGGGACCCGCGCGCTGCCCCCGTCGACCCGCGCGTCGCCCCAGGGGACCCGCGCGCGCTGCCCCGTCGACCCGCGCGTCGCCCCAGGGGACCCGCGCGCGCTGCCCCGTGGACCCGCGCGCGCTGCCCTGTGGACCCGCGTGCCGCCCCTTGCCCTCGTGCAGCTGCGGGGCGGCTTCTTCCCCGCCCCCCCCCCCTCCTTCCCCGTCGTCTCTCTGCTGCGCGTGCAGCCGTGGGGGAGGGTATGGGGGTGGCGGGTATGGGGGTGGCGGGTGTGCGTCGTCCCTTGCTCCTCCTCCTCCTCTCTCTCCCACTGCTGCAGCTGCCGCTGAGGGGGGTGGGTGTGTGGGAGCCGAGGGAGTCGCGCTAGGGGGTGCCGTGGGAGTGGAGCTAGGGGTGCACAAGGGGTGTGTGAAAGGGGGGTGGGACAGTTGGGGGAGGTTGAGCGGAGGCAGCCGTCGTGTCGTCAGCAGCTCCAGTAGTCCGGGGCTCTGCTCCGGTAGCCCAGCGAGCCTGCTGCACCAGTCGCCCGTGGATCCGTTGCTCCTGCCACTCGTCTTAGCCGCGGAGCCAGTTACTCCAGTAGTCCGGGGCGCTGCTCCGGTAGCCGCTGTGCCAGCCACTCCTGTTACCCATGTGTCTGGACCTTCAGCCGTCGCCTCCTATCTCCTCTCCTCTCACAGTCCCGCCTCCTCCTCCTCACTTGCCCTTTGTGAATGCCTCTAGCTTTGCTTGTACTTGTGAACCTGCTCTATGACTGCTTGCTGTGCTGATTATACCCCACTTTGACTATGGGGGTATGTCAGAATGTGATATTTGTCTAGCCTGCAGTGGGGTACTCTATAGCGAGTATAGCCCAAATTAGGGTTTCCTATATGTACTCAACTGCCTGCTAGTGCAAACCCTCTTCTCTGTTCTCATTCTTCATTCCTACTTTCTGACACATTTATCGCAGGGTGCTTGCAAAGGAGAGGCTGACCGCGGAGCAGCTTTTGAAGGTCCTCATCGTCCCCATGAGTAAGGTCAACGAGGCCAGGGAGAAAGTCCCTCTGAAACCCATGGGTCCTGGCAGACTCACTGGTCTTCTTGGCAAGCAACTCTGCATCTTCCCGCTGTGGTCCAGGTGAGCTCGAATTGTGCTGCTTACTTTGTAGGTTGTGTTTCCTCGAGAAGTGTATTGTGTTTTCGAAAGTATTGACTTCTACGTGATGTCTAACCATTCGCCACACTACTCCATGCAGAATCACTGCCGAGCCTGGAGCGCGCTGTAGCCTCTTCGCGCTTGTACGCCCTGACAGTCTGGCGGTAGACCCGAAATGTCCGGTTCAGACGGGACTTCTGCATTTCGACCCCAAGGCAACTAGTCCGACACACAAGCACACAATCCTCGCCGAAAAAGTTGTCGCGTGAGTATCCGTAATTTGATTAGCATCTGTGCCTTTTGCTGATTGGATCGACGCTAATAGAATTCGTCGAGACCACACCTGATGAGCAGTTGGCTGAAGGAGCAGCTCTTGACGGAGTATTCAAGAGGGGAAGCGATATTGACTGGGGAGGCGGAGGAAACGTATCGCAACATTCGAAACCGCATCATTAGCGGGTGGAAGCTCGACAAAACGGCAGTGAGTTAACTGTGCGAATAAGTCAATTTTGTTTCTCGAAAATAGATACATGTTAACACGTTTCGACTTCCGTTTTGTGCAGAAGCTAACTCAATCACTCGGCCAGAGGGAGGTTGGTTCTGGTCTTTACGTGGCATACCAGTGGTGTAAGATGCTCGATAATTTTACGCGATTCTCCAGCAGCAGAAGAGAGAGGAGAAATTCCTCGTGCTAGGAACCCCACAATACCGTCATGATGACATTCTTAAGGATTTCCTCACCACCTTTGGTAAGTATTTTGACAAAGGAGTGGGTGGTGATGATGCGGGTGAGGGGGAGGAGTTGGACAACTTGGAGCAACATGGGCCGGCCGCAGAGGACACAGGTGCCCCGCCCGTGATTGATGCGGAAATAGTCGCGTTGGGGGCCCTGGTTGCTGACGGCGCACGAATCGATCTGGTCAATGCGCGTCAGAGCGACACGGATGGGGAGCCACCTGTTCCAAGGGAGAATGCGCGCGAAATCCTGCGTGGAATGAGGGAGACGCAGCAGAGGGCCGCACAAGAGGAAACCCAGCGTTGCGGATCGGAGACCCTACAGCAGAAGGAGGAGGGGGAGAGGATGGAGGAGGAGCTTGCAGGGGCTTTACAGGCAGTGCACCTTCGGGTCGAGAATGATGAACATGAGGAGGGGCAGGGTTTGGAAATGAGGCAGGGGAGTCTGAATGTCGTTGGCGAATTGGAGGAAGAGGTGCAGATGGCGGAACGCGACAATACCGTGGTGTATCAGAGGCGGGAGGCACGAACAAAGAAGAGGTATGATCAGGGTGGGGAAGCACGCGAGGAGGGGGAGGCAAATTAGAGAGAGGAACAGAAGCGTATGAGGCTCGAGGACGAGAGGTGAGAGGTGCGCGGTTCGGAGGGGGAGAGGGAGAGGGAGGAAAGGGAGCGGACGAGCCTCGAAAAAGAGAGGCGTGTTGAGCTCGAAAAAGAGGAGGCGCGGCAGAGGGAGGAGGAAGAGAGTAAGAGGCTAGAGGAGCCGGTGGAGCGCGAAAAGGAGGAGAAGCGGCAGAGGGAGGAGGAAGAGGGGAAGAGGGAGGAGGATAGGCGGGCTGAGCGCGAAAAGGAGGAGAAGCGGCAGAGGGAGGAGGAAGAGGGGAAGAGGGAGGAGGATAGGCGGGCTGAGCGCGAAAAGGAGGAGAAGCGGCAGAGGGAGGAGGAAGAGGGGAAGAGGGAGGAGGATAGGCGGGCTGAGCGCGAAAAGGAGGAGAAGCGGCAGAGGGAGGAGGAAGAGGGGAAGAGGGAGGAGGATAGGCGGGCTGAGCGCGAAAAGGAGGAGAAGCGGCAGAGGGAGGAGGAAGAGGGGAAGAGGGAGGAGGATAGGCGGGCTGAGCGCGAAAAGGAGGAGAAGCGGCAGAGGGAGGAGGAAGAGGGGAAGAGGGAGGAGGATAGGCGGGCTGAGCGCGAAAAGGAGGAGAAGCGGCAGAGGGAGGAGGAAGAGGGGAAGAGGGAGGAGGATAGGCGGGCTGAGCGCGAAAAGGAGGAGAAGCGGGAAGGAGGCGAGGGAGAAGGAGGAGCGGGCGCGGGAAGAGGGTCGAGGACGAGGGGCGAGAGGCGCGCGAAGAGGAGGCGAGGGAGAAGGAGGAGCGGGCGCGGGAAGAGGGTCGAGGACGAGGGGCGAGAGGCGCGCGAAGAGGAGGCGAGGGAGAAGGAGGAGCGGGCGCGGGAAGAGGGTCGAGGACGAGGGGCGAGAGGCGGGTGGGGCGCGAAAGGGAGGAGGCGCCTCAGAAGCAGGAACGGGAAGGGAAGAGAACCGAAAGCGAACGCCGAAGGAAGGAGCTGCAAAGGCTCGAGCGCGAAAGGCAAGTGGCAAGACAGATGGAGGGAGTCGGTGAGCAGAACGGTCCAGAGCGCCAGAGGGATCGACGGGAAGAGCATGAGCGGCGTGAAATGGGGGGCGCTCCGCAGAGGAACGAAAGGCAGAGAGAGGTTGCTGGGTTGGGTGAACAAGGTGCAGGAGGGCAGCGGCGTGGGGATGGAACTCGTCACACGTGCGAGGGCCAGAAGGGCGTGAGGGTCTGTCAAACGCAAGCAGGGCGGGGCGCAGGGGAAGGAGCTCGACAAGTGCTGGTTGGCGACCAGCCAGCCGAGGCGCAGCAGGGGACGACGGTTCGTCGGGCAGTAGAGGTGGGTTTAGCGGGGTTGGGAACTGGGGGACAGATGGAGGAAGTCGGTGAGCATCATGGTCCGGAGTGCCAAAGGGATCGACGGGAGGAGCATGAGCGGCGTGAAATGGGGGGCGCTCCGCAGAGGAACGAAAGGCAGAGAGAGGTTGCTGGGTTGGGTGAACAAGGTGCAGGAGGGCAGCGGCGTGGGGATGGAACTTGTCACACGAGCGAGGGCCAAAGGGGCACGAGGGTCTTTCAAACGCAAGCAGGGCGGGGCGCAGGGGAAGGAGCTCGACAAGTGCTGGTTGGCGACCAGCCAACCGACGCGCAGCAGGGGACGACGGTTCGTCGGGCAGTGGAGGTGGGTTTAGCGGGGTTGGGAACTGGCGGACCGAGACTGGTGATTCAGCGGGAAGGTGGCCGGCGTGATGATCAAACTGCTCGGAACAGGGTTGGCGAGGAAGACCGTATGGGGGTCGAGCAGTCAAGACAAGCTGGTCGGCGAGAGGGTGAAGCGCGTCGAACGCTACATGGTGAGAGAATGGCGGAGGAGCAGGTCTGGCGTGGGGTGGGATGGGGAGTAGGGGGAGCGCGACAAAGGGAGAATCAGCAGAGGCAGGCGGGAGGACGGGTGGAGGAGGAGCTGGAGAGTGCGGCGAGTGCGCTCCCTATGCAGAGGCGCCATCCACGTGCGGCAGAGAATCCTGCTGCGGTGCAGGCAGAGGAATTAGGGTGAATGGGTGGCTGTGGAGAGGCAACTGCAGGGACTGGAGAATGCGGGGCCCCAGGTTTTCGAGGAGACGGAGGGAGGATTTGAGGAGGCCGGTGACCGCATCGCAGCTAGCGGCAGGGTGCATACTACGCCAGAGTTAATGCGGCGTCTGACGTTGGTGGCGAGGACCGTGGCCAGGATTTCGTCGGAGCAAACTGTTCGCTTCAGCGACTGCATGGCCGAGATTCGCCAGTTTGGTTCGCAGATGCAGGGATGGGACTTGCGCTACTTGCAGGACTACGATGATCTAACGCACGAGTACCATGTGCTAAAGGATTCAGTGGTCCGGGAGCGCGACGAGCTCGTCCAATTGCGTACTGCTCTTTCGACTGCAACAGCCGAGGCACGAGCGGCAGCAGCTGATGCAGGTCGAGCAGCTGCTGCAGCGGTTGTGGGAACATTGGAAGAAACGTTTGCGGGGTTTTTCGACACGGTTGCGGAGAGGCTCAAGGGTATGGTGGAGCAGGCGATGGAGGCAGCGTCAAAAGGGGGGAAGCTGGAAGCCACGATGGCGCCCGAGTCCGTGAATCACATAGAAAAGGCTTTCGAAGATAGTGTATACACGGTGTGGGTGGATCTCAAAACTTCGGACGACGCAAACAAGCAGACCTTCAAGGCCCTTCAGAAGGCTCTGGCAGGATTGGTAGCTAAACTGAAAGGGCCACGGGTCGAAATTCCACCTGCTACCAGGGCAGAGGCCACACCTCGAATTTCGCGAACGCTGCTCGAATCAGAGTTTCCGGGGATCCCTATCTCCGCAGCACAATAAGTCATGGAAAGGTTTGCCGCAACCTCTGACGGTGAGGCGAATGAGGAGGGTGAGGCGGGCGCTGGTGTGGCGGATCTCGACTTGTCTGGTCCAGTGAGTACAAACTGGAGAGCGTCGTTGGCCGCGAAGGAGTTGCAGAGAGAAAAGGAGAAGGAGAGTGCGGAAAGGAAGGCTGCCGAGGTTCGGAAGCGGACTGCAATTCAGAGGACGCAAGCGACCATTGCAGAGAAGACGCGGGCAAGGATTGTTGGTAGCAGCGAAAGAGCGGCGGGAAACCGAGCGGCGGATACAGCCGCAGAGCCAAGATGGACGCGGGAAGAGCTTGCAGCTGCGTTCGAAAAGAGGCGGAAAGAGGATGAGCAGGCGAAGGAGGCAGAGCGGGCCGAGAGAGCGGCGCAGAAAAAACGCAAGGCGGAGGACGAGAAGAGGGTTCGTGAGGAGCAGGCGAAGGAGGCAGAGCGGGCCGAGAGAGCGGCGCAGGAAAAACGCAAGGCGGACGAAGTGAAGAGGGTGCGTGAGGAGCAGGCGAAGGAGGCAGAGCGGGCCGAGAGAGCGGCGCAGGAAAAACGCAAGGCGGACGAAGAGAAGAGGGTGCGGGAGGAGCAGGCGAAGGAGGCAGAGCGGGCCGAGAGAGCGGCGGAGGAAAAACGCAAGGCGGACGAAGAGAAGAGGGTGCGGGAGGAGCAGGCGAAGGAGGCAGAGCGGGCCGAGAGAGCGGCGGAGGAAAAACGCAAGAAGGAGGAGGAAGATAAGAGGCTGCGGGAGGAGCAGACAAAGGCATTGAAGGTTGCTGAAGAGAAGCGGGCGGAGGCATTGAAGCGGCAAATGGAGCTCCAGGCAGAGCGTGAGAGGATGCACGCACAGATGGAGAAACTTGCAAAGTTAGAGGAAGTTGCAAAGGAGGAAATGGAGAGGCAACAGGAGGAGTTGGAGGCGCAGAAGAAGAAGATGGAAAAGAAGAGGCAACAGATTGCGGCCACAGATGTGGAGGGGGTAGCAGGGCAGGGGCAGGGAGGAGACGCGATTCTTAGCGTGGTTCCGACGGCGGACCCCAGACAGCCTCTTGAAGTTGTGGATCTCGCAGAAGATGTGGAGTCAATAGATCTGACAGTCCAGGCTGATTCAGAGTCCTAACCGCGCTCAAAGAAACCTCGCAGAGATCAAACAACGCACAACGTCAATGCAGAGGCGGACTCTGAAAATGTTGCAGCTTCAGAGGACGAAGTTGAGGCAGGGCAGGAGAATCCTGAAGTGGTGTTGGAAGAAGCGGTGGAAGATGTCGCGGAAAAGGATACGATAACCAAGCTGGGGTGTTACCAAGCACTTCAAAAAAAGTGGGCTATTTGAACGCTCACAGGTGCAGAAGGATAGGACGATGGAGGTGAGATACTCGTCGGAGCAAACAGTTGGGGGGAAGAAGAGAAACATGGGGAGTTATAAGGAGAAATGGCGCCGTGACTTCACCGTAGCCATCTGCTGGATGGCGTACAATCCGAACACCGACATGCTTCACTACGGGATGGATGCCGTAGAAGTTGGGACATTGGATCTCTACTTCGAACTCGCGCGTGAATTGCCGACAGGAGTGTGGAGCGTACTCAACGAAATGGACCTGGACAAGTTTGAAGAGTGAGTTTCTTCGTTTTACGTGTTATTGGTTCGATTGTGCCACTAATGTTCACGCTATTGTTATCCTTTCCACCCCACTTTCGCAGCTTAAAAAATGTCACGGAGAAAATTCGGGCATGCTTGGACCGCGGCGAGCATTGGGAGATCGCGGTTTGCGTGGGGATTGGACATGCCCTCGTCCATGGCAGCACTGCTGCGGAGTCCCCCCCAACTGGCGTAGCATCTCTCTACACCCTGTGGGCAGCTTCGACCGGCATTCCGATACAAGACTGGGCGGAGGGTGCTGCTGCGGCAGCCCGTGGGACACTGGCCCCTCCAAGCCTTGCCAGTCGAGCAGCGTGGATTTCTCGCGTCGGAATCAACGCTCTGGTTTGAGCAAGGGACTGCGTGCATGGTCGGAACGAGTGGGATGGGGTTATTACCGAAGTGATTGTCGGCATCCTAGATCCCGAACCCTCGGATGACCCAGAGGTTGTTAGCCTGGCGAAAGTGGTTGCTCGGGTGGTGGTGTACTGGAGCGAGTGCAACTTGGCAGCGGCAGGAATTAAAGCGTTTCAAGGGGGTTTGCTCAACTTTGCCCAGGGCTCACGGGGGCAGAAACGGAAGGCGACTGCACGAGGGAACGCGAATGCGGGAGGGGAGGCGAATGCAGGAGGGAACGCGAATGCGGGAGGGGAGGCATCTGCAGGAGGGAACGTGAATGCGGGAGGGAACGCGAATGCGGGGGGGAATGTTGGTGCAACCCTACGGTTTGCACTCGGCTTGTTGTCCGTGTGCGTGAATGTGTGTGTGTATGGAATGGTATGAGGGCATGGGATAATATATATTTCATGCTTATAATTGTGTGTGAATGTTGAGTCATGATGTCGAGTGTGTGTGTCGAGTCAATAGCGAGTTATCGCTAGACGCGTGTTACGCGGTCGTTTGTGTCTCGCGCGCGGTTTCTATTTTGTCGTGCGCGGTTTCTATTTTGTCCTGTGTCGAACGTTCGGCGTGTCGCAGGTGTGTGCAGCAGACCCATCAAGAACTCAAGGATGAGTTTGTGATGAAGAGCCCGAGCCTTGGTGTCAAGCCTCAAGTGATTTCGAAGCTTGCCAAAAGGGTACACCTCAAGATATTGAAGATAGTTACATTACTTTGTGTAGTGTAACATTTCACTTGGTGTAGGCCCTAGTGAAGGGTAGTTTCGAGACCCTTCGTGGTTGGGGACAGTGTGGCACTGTTCCACATCACTGTACCTCGGCTCTTGGGGTTTGTAGGAGCTGGGAGTCATTCCCAACTCGTAACTCTCCCTAACTCTTCCTATCTTGTGTTCTAAGACTATAGTGGCTGCCATAGTACCGTTCGTTCAAACCGACGCTGTGTCGTCAATTCTTTATCAAATCGTGCAATCTAAATTGCTAATTGTAGACGACGTGAAGACGCTCCAGATCCAATTTGAATCAAGTCATTTGCAGCTGTGAGCAGAACGCTATCAACGTTTGAAGCCGCTGTGCAGAAATCCGTCTGTGCTCTCTATCTTTCGTTTTAGGCACATTCAAGCCTATTGTGACTATAACAAAAGGGTTGATAGGCTATAACAAGTCACAATAGGCTTGAATGTGCCTAAAACGAAAGATAGAGAGCACAGACGGATTTCTGCACAGCGGCTTCAAACGTTGATAGCGTTCTGCTCACAGCTGCAAATGACTTGATTCAAATTGGATCTGGAGCGTCTTCACGTCGTCTACAATTAGCAATTTAGATTGCACGATTTGATAAAGAATTGACGACACAGCGTCGGTTTGAACGAACGGTACTATGGCAGCCACTATAGTCTTAGAACACAAGATAGGAAGAGTTAGGGAGAGTTACGAGTTGGGAATGACTCCCAGCTCCTACAAACCCCAAGAGCCGAGGTACAGTGATGTGGAACAGTGCCACACTGTCCCCAACCACGAAGGGTCTCGAAACTACCCTTCACTAGGGCCTACACCAAGTGAAATGTTACACTACACAAAGTAATGTAACTATCTTCAATATCTTGAGGTGTACCCTTTTGGCAAGCTTCGAAATCACTTGAGGCTTGACACCAAGGCTCGGGCTCTTCATCACAAACTCATCCTTGAGTTCTTGATGGGTCTGCTGCACACACCTGCGACACGCCGAACGTTCGACACAGGACAAAATAGAAACCGCGCACGACAAAATAGAAACCGCGCGCGAGACACAAACGACCGCGTAACACGCGTCTAGCGATAACTCGCTATTGACTCGACACACACACTCGACATCATGACTCAACATTCACACACAATTATAAGCATGAAATATATATTATCCCATGCCCTCATACCATTCCATACACACACACATTCACGCACACGGACAACAAGCCGAGTGCAAACCGTAGGGTTGCACCAACAGGTTTTACTTTATGATGCTGAAACAAATGTTGTTGGAGTTGATGCCACTACGCGAAAACGATTTGTATTTATAATGTGCCTTTAAGGAACTCGGTGGGAGTACCTTGTCGCGATCGAAAATTTCGATCAACGTCTTTGACTGTTAACGATATGCCGAGGTACAATCCTTGTTTCTGAACAAGGAATTCAGCGGCCACATGAGCAAGCATCTAGCGCACAAAGATCGGTACATACTGTAATGTAGTAGAGCGTGTGCATTTTAACCAAATTCACTGTAATCATTTTATGAACACGAGGCTCAGTATCGAGTTTCTCGATACGGAGCTTTGTCGCAAACTGGTTGCGACGTGGTCCCAAATATCACGTCGCAACCGTTTGCGCAAAAGGTGCACGTCAATTGACGGCTGCACCTTGACGCTGGCGAGAGCACGTGCTTCGCCAGCTACATTGCACGCACGAATCGGTTCGGGCAGAGAGCTGTTTCACGGGCAGGCCGAGCCTAGCCCTTGGGCCGGTGGGGGTTGTCTTACTCGGCGCAAGCTTGCGCCGCTTCCGCGTGGGTCTAGGCGAGCTCGACCAGACGAGCTCGACCTGCGTGTTTTCTCTGGCAAATCCGCTCGACCTGCGCCCACAACTACATAACTTCCCCCTGGGAGGGGGTGCTCCGTGCCCGCGCCCGCCGCCCCAGGGCGGGAGAGGGGGGGGGGGGGGGGGAGGGGGGGGGGGGGGGGGGGTTGGTGGGGGGATGCGCGCCCACGCCCGCCGCCCTCGGGGGAGGGCCTCCGCGCCCGCGCCCGCCGTCACTAGGGGGGGGGGGGCTCCGCGGTGAGGAGCAAGGAGGCAAGTGGGGAGGGCGGGGGACCTGCTGCTGCTGCCGCGGTGAGGAGGAAGGAGGCCAGTGGGGAGGGCGGGGGGCAGGTACGTAGTTGCGTGAATAATGGGAGTCGACGTGAATGCCTGTTTTTATACACATACATGAGACACACCCTCTTTCATCCCTCCCTTCCCTCTCTCCCTCTTGGCCTTACAAGCTCGTTCACTCTTTTTCCATCTCTAGCTTTTCTGGACGTCCCATTCCAGCCTTGAAGTACAACGAACGGCTCAGGGATAATAGCTCTAGGTTGCAGCAACAACTGCAGATGCGACTTTCGAGACGTGTCAAAAGACGGCTTAGGGATCAAGTCTGGAGGCTGCAGCAAAAGCTGCGGGGCGCATGTCACATTCTGGAGACGGAGCGGAGGGAAGTAGATGATTTGTAGGGCAAGCTGAAGCCACAGGCGGAGCAGCTGGCGGGGGAGAGGGAGAGGTGGAGAGTGGAAAGGGAGCAGCTGATGGCAAGGATTGTGGAGTTGGAGGGGCAGCAGGAGGGGCAGGGAGGTGGTGCAGGCGTGGCGGAGAGGAGCGTTCAGGAGAGAAAGGTGAGTGTGAGGCCGATCAAGAGAGAGAGGTGAGTGTGAGGAGGGCGAGTCAGGTGCAAGCAAGAGTGGAGAGGCACAACGAGGGGGAGGAAGGGCCACAGCGGTGGAGCATGGGTCGGTCGCCGTGTGGGAGTGGGCGTCTGCGTTCTCCCCAGGCGTTTGGCGGTGTCCGTTTTCCCAAGCGGTCCCGGTTGCTGCAATGTCGTCTCTGTAGGCTTGTGTCACTCATCTGCCAATCGTGCCCGAGCGCCCTGTAGCAAAGGACCATGGCTCAGTAGGTGATGGTGTCTTGGGGGACAGACAGCAGGGGGCGAGAGGCTGCGAAAGGGGCAGGTGGAGCAGTGCAGCACCTGGGAGGTTAGTTGATGCGGGCCACAACGGCGGTTGCACAAAAGGCAGAGGCGAGGGGAGAGAATGAACAAGAGTAGAGCGAGTAGAATTGAGGATTTGAAGGGGAGGGGGGAGGGGGGGAAAGGGGGGGAAGAGTTGGAGGAGATGGTAACTATCACTTACAAGAACGGTACTGCTGTCCTTCGGAACAGAGGTGGGGCGAGAGGTGAGGATGAGATGACAGGAGAGGGAAGACAAGAGAGGGGAGAAGGCAGAGAGGAGTGAGGGAAAGAGAATGGAAATTGGGAGATGGGAGAAGGGAGTGGAGCCGGTGCACTTTCAGCAGGCCCAG